TAATGTTTTATCTTTTGTTAGCACCCATTACCTATAAGTAACCTTTTAGTTACTATAATGTCCTTTGAATAAATAATAAAAAATTGAATACTTTATTGTTTAGATAAATGAACTGGGGAATAGAAAGATAAGGTAAATTACTCAGAGTTATTCAGTAAAGAGATATAGTGCAGACTGGAGAGCACTTATTTTTTAACAACAACAACAAATGGAATTGGAACTAACACTAGAGGAAGAGAAACCATGTGAGCTAGGAATTTCTTAGTACAAGTCATCCATGAAGTGAGTTGTTAAATTCCTTGATCCTATAAATATCTACTCAGTACTAATAAGCACTCATGAGCCAGTTTGTCAGCTTCAAGGATGATATGGAATTGGAACTAACACTAGAGGAAGAGAAACCATGTGACTCAGGCTGAGCAGTGTTACTGTCCTGTAGATACCAACTCCTAGATCCCAAAATGGTCAGAATTTGGGAAAAAAAAAAAAAAAATATATATATATATATTTTGCCCCTTGGCCTACCTTCCACCATTCTAAATGCTGCTCTGGGTCTGGAAGACTGATCACTAGGGACAATACTATCCATACTCCTTGACCTCATTCCCAAAAAGGATCAGAGAGCAGGAGAAAAAGAGATTATCATCATTATTCGTTGTGCCTCCTCCTTGCTTGGTTGATGACCACTACATTTCCTTACAATGACCAGAGTGTCTGTTGGGAAACCCTCTCTCACAATTACGGCTATAGCTATGGCTTTCTTCACCTTCTGGTAACCATTGGTCCAGCTGGGGAGTTGCTTTATTTCTCTTAGTTTTCTTAGGTATTATGTCTCCTGAGAAGGTGGCTGGGCATATCAACTGAATTAGTATCTGTCATGAATTCATACTCATGACGTTCCATGTACTAAGTACTTCACGTGAAATTACCTCATCTCATCCTGGTGATAATCTACTTTTATGATGACCACATGGTCTTTCTACATTTTGAATAAGCTGTGCTTCTCTCCTCCTTCTGGAACTGTCTCTCAAGGYCTCGGTGCTACTGGCTTATTCTGGYTTTAGGGTCTCAAATGTTGCTTCATCAATTGGCCCAGACAAGACAGCTTCTCTGGTAGCAAGGTTCACTTCCTTTATAAAACTCATCACTTCCAGAGATCATCTTTGTTTCCATGTTTATTCCCTCTTCTCAAATAAGTTCCATGAAAGAAGTGAACCTTAGTGTCTTGTTCCCTGTTATAAACCTGGCCTCTCAAAAACACAACAAAACAAAACCCTGTCCTGGACTAGAGACTAAATACAGAAACTAAGAGGCAGGGAATTTATGTAAATAACTCTGGGCCTTTTGTTTAGCAACAAACACAACCGAATTTAAATACTTGCCAGGATAATCGCTCCCTTTGCCTCTTTCAATAGTTCTTGGAAGAGATAATGAGGGTCTGAGCCAGAGCCACAGTGTGAGGGATAGAAAGTAAGTTTAAAAGATACTTCAGAGAGAAAATCAACCAGAGTTTGGTGACTGGTCAAGTCATGGCTCACCCTGGGATTCTCCATGGCTCAGCAGGCTCACCTGGKGGATGTGCTTTTCTGATCATGTACCTGGAGCTGTCTGCCTACCTCTTGCTCCCTGTCTTCATAGCATCTTTTTGGTCCTGTGCCCAGTCATTCCAGGTCCAGTCCATGGATAGGCAGCTAATGAGATCACCTGACTAGTGTAGTGATGGAATTAATGTTTTTTTTTTTTTTTTTTTTTCTAAATAATCTACTTCCACAGGCTGGGGAATGTGATGGCTAGTGAGAGAGTTTTAGATCTTAGAGTTTTAGGTCTTTTGTGGTCCACAGATCATATGCCAAGTCTATACACCTGTCAGCCAGTTTTATTAAAAGTGGCTATTTTTATAAAACTATATCTTTAGAGTCATTCTGATACATTTCTGGTAACATTCTGTCTTTTATTTCCAAGAGATATCCTTTTTCATCACCTTTCTTTCAAAACTATGTTGCATCTTCCGTATTTATTTGGGGTTGCAGATATTGGTACAAGAGAGGTGCTAAARGAACAGGAAGATTTTGTGGCCTACTAAGTGGATATGGGGATCCATTTGAAATTTTCATTTTATCTTTATACATTCCATTTTATCTTTCTACATCTACTCTGTTTCCAGTAAATATCTGGTAAGTTGGGGAATATTGGTTCGAATTCAAAGGAGAAAAGCAATGACTCTAATAACTAACAGTCACTGCAAATAGTAGCAATAAAGACACCTGCAGCGTCAGTGTCACCTAGGACAAGGTTTGGCATTTTCCTACATAATGTCCTTCTAAGCTTATGTTCATCTTTATCTAGGAGATGGTGTGAATGTGGGTACAAGGAAAGAAAAATAAAATCAAAGCAATGCATCTCAACCACAATTTTAACTTTTTGTACCTGGGAGTATTGCTAAAAAGAAATCGTGTTGCCCTGACACCTCCCCCCCACAGAATATAATGTAAGTTTTTGCAGAATAGGGTTTGATTCTTTAATATTTTTTGGTTTGTTTTAGTATTTTTATATTTGTTTTATTTATTGCTTTGTCTCCCAGCACAAGGAGCAGGAAGTGACGTGTAATAGATATTTGTTGAATAAATAAGTGAAATAATTAAATCTTGTTATGATGATATGTGACTTTGGTCAGTGGCATAGAAAATGATCGCTGTTATTTTCCTGGACCTTTCACTGGATGTGTCATTTGAAGTTATTTCCATGTATCCTCCATTTGTGTTGTGAAGACTAGTGAAATTTAAGATATTTGTGTGTTTAAAGCCCCACAGTTTTTGTATCATATATACAAAATATATGATTTTATATATATATTTGCCCTAGTGCTAATATATTAGCACTAGGGCATTGAATTCAGGGTGCTTCACCACTGAGCCACACACATCCCCAGCTCTTTCTATTTATATAGTTTTAAATTTTGCAACAGGGTCATACTAAGTTGCTTAGGGCCTTGCTAAGTTGCTGAGGCTGCCTTTGAATCTGTGATCTTCCTGCCTCAGCCTGCTGAGCCATTGGAATTACAGGTGTGGGCCCCCAAGCCCAGCCTCCTCTAGATTTTTAATGCTCTCTTCCCTCCCCAGAACACCATGTTGTCAGATTCTAAGTGTGGTTTGATCYTTAGAAAGAAATGCATTAAATAATGTTTTTACACAGAACATTAGTAAGTGTACATTATAAATTATATATCACATCTTTATAAAATCAGTTGAGGTTTCCCTGTAGGCATCCTCTGTTTTACATGTCTTAAAAATATCACATAATTGGAGAGAAAAAGGAAAACAGGGAGTGTAGGGGTTAGTCTTATGTGTCAACCTGGCTAGACTGCAGCACCCAGCTATTTAATCAAACACTAACCGAAGTGTTGCTATGAAATATTCTAGATATGTAATGTCAACAATYAGTTGACATTAAGTAAAAGGCAGATAATGCTGTGTTGTGCAGGTGGGCCCCATTTAATCAGTTGAAGACCTTACCCAAAACAGTCTTCCTGAAGAATAAGAAATTTGACTGAAGATTGCAGTGCACTTACTGCCTGAGCTTCTGGCCTGCCAGCCTGCCCTATAAGTGTCAGCCCCTATAGTCCAGTGAGACAATTCCTTCAAATAAATCCACTTACATATGTGTTTGTATGAGAAGATATGTGTGTGTATGTGTGTGTATCTCATTTTTCTAGAGAACCCTGATTGATAAAAGGAGAAAGTGAGCAAAGAAAAAAAGTCATATTGTTTACATATTTTCCACTTTTTTTTCCTAATCTAATGACATTTCTGAATTTTGGCAATTTTCTAAATTATGTGYCCAATGCTTGTGAGTCAAGAAACTTAAACATCTATAGGTGCTATGGAAAACAATATGGTGGTTCCTCAAAAAATTAAAACTAGAACTATGCCATGATCCTTTAGTCCCACTCCTTGGATATACATACAGAGGAAATGGAGCCAGCATGTCCAGGAGGTATCTGCACCCCATGTTTTTTCCTATACTATTCACAGTAGCCAAGACATKCAATCAACCCAGGTGTCCATCATTGGATGGACAAAGGCAATATGGTGTATATTCACAGTGCAGTACTGTTCAGCCCTAAAGTAGATTGAATCCTATCATTTCCAATAATATAGATGAAGATGGAGGTCATTATGTTAAGCGAAATAAGGCCTGGGTACAGAAAGACATACCACATGATCCCACTCATATGTGAATTAAAAAATTGATCTGATAGACCTTGAGAGTAGAGTGGTGTTTGCCAGAGCTTGGGGAGGGAGAGTGGCAGAGAAAGAATGGAAAATTGAACAACAGGTACTACATTATAGTTAGATTGGAAAATCAGATTAGATCCTAATCCTAGCTAGATTAGGAATCAGAAATAATTTCTGATTCCCATTGCATAGTAGGGTAGTGATATATTATATATTCCAAAGACGTTAGTAGAAAGAATTTTGATGTTTTGCCCCCCCCAAACATACACACAAAGTATAAACATTTGTGACAATGGACATGCTCATTCTTATTTGACCATTATACAATGTATGTATGTATTGAAACATCACATGCTACCCCACCAATGTGTATGATTTTTATACATCAATTATAGGACCAAGGAAAATAGATAAAATGGCTTAAAATATCCAGCTGCTTTGCCAACAAGTTAAACCACATCCTGTGAATTACTAGAGTTCTAGTCCCCACCCCTCAGATTAAAAAAAAAAAAAAWTGTCCCAAAGTTTTGAAGCACAGGCTCTTGCTACTAACACTGTGCTATCTGTTTGCCAAATAGGAAGTGTTTCATAATTGCACAAAACTGCTCCTAGGTATGTAGGTAAACATGAGTACATCAACAGARTAGCTTTTGCTGTATATGATATACTGATTCTTTTGAGAAGCAGAGAACTGCAAGGCATGCAAACCTAACAAAGAAAACAGTTTAGGGGTGGAAAAAAAAAATCACAGAAAACCAAACTTGCTTTGAATAGCAGGAGACGACGTTTTGGCAGCTGAGCAGGGCAAGAGCTTCATGAGTCGCTCTTTAATGCTGCGCTTGGTGTTGTTCTGAGCGTAGAGGAAACCTAGAAAATACACGATCAATTCTGTTAATGCTGTCTGCACAGAGGCCCTGGGCTGTGCTGCAGGGGTTATCAGAGAAGCCAGGCAGGCAGGATTGGGGATGCAGCCATCTGCTCAGGCAATCGCAGGCACTGGGTTGAGACTCCAAAATATCTTTCTCCTTATTTGAGCTTTCTTTAAAAAGAAATTCTTTACATTGCATTAAAAGACAGTGATTAACAAGTAAAAACAGAAACATGAAAGGTTATCTGTAGGATGACATTAGCGAAATTTGGTGGCTTTTTTGGCCTTAGGTTAGSAATAAGACAAACATCACTAAAAGAGTTAACTGGATTGAATCTTCAATATTCAAACCAGCATTAGGAGCCCACTTTGCAATTTTCTGTTCTCATTGCTCCCCGTCCTTGATTACAGAGGAGATAGATGCTCTGCATAAATCACTCACACCGCGAGCACCTGTTAGTACCTTTGCCTTCCCTGAAAGTGAAAAAAACAAATGTCCTCAATATGCAGCTTCATTAGCATACGCTGACATGCCCGGAGATGTGACCATCCTTCACATTTTTCACACATGGACATTAATGAATGGAACTTATTCAAGCAGAACAATTCCAAAAAGAAGCAATGTGTGTTTATAATATGTTAACCCAGGAAGAGATGGAGCACCATCTGTGACTTCAGGCAGTTGGAAAGGACCCAAGGAATATCAACAGTGACCGGCCAGGCAAGCTAGCAAACACCTGAAATGAGGAGCCTGCTGTCCAGCTCCTCATCAACTTCACAACTCTGAGTGCATAGAAGCCTGAATTTGCATGTTATTATCCATCACTTCTCCAACATTAGTTTGGAAGGTGTCAAATGGAAGTGGAAAGCAAGAGAACCAATTTAGATTGAGGTCAGACCATCTTTATGATATGGATGTAGAAAATGTTATCACTTGTACCTTTTCTACTTCATGATTTCTTCCTTGCAATTATAAACAAGTCCTGACCCCAAGACTGTGGATCTCTTTCCTTTTGGGACTGATTCTCCTCTCTATCAGTGTCCACTGGCAAAACTCCTATGTGTGGGTGAGTGACAAAATGAAGTAGTAAATATGTAAATTAATATGYAAATTAATATGTAAATTAAGCCAGATCATTTCCTTGAAAAAACTGCCCTCCTCCTGGCAGGGAAGCCAGTCCCTGCAGAGTCTCGCCCTACCCTGCGCTCTGCCCATGTTTCCATCTGCCCTCATTAATGCTCCAGACCATTGCCCACCAAGCATACTGCCCACCCTGCCTTCCATRGAAAGGCAAAGCAGATCCTCCTCTGGCCTTGAGACTTGGGCTATGTGAAACATCTTATCCACTCAATATCTCACATGCTGTTTGAGGATCTGGCACATAATAGAAGGTCAATAAATTCACTTTGTACATATGAAGACCTGACATCATTCCTTCGATTTGTGTCTAAGTATGCTTTGAAACGTGCACCATAAGTCTGATTTGCAGAAAGCAGACTCTTTACTTTGCTTCATCCTCCTCCATCTCCAGAGGAAGGCAATCATCTCAGTATCCTCTGCTTTGTAAACTTCTATAGGGCATCGGGGGCTTGCTCTACCTCCTCAGGCAGGACTCTGCTACTCTCTCTGCCCTGTGCAGGCTCCATGGCACCTAGGTGCTGCCCCCTCAGTCTGCTCAGCCCCTTTCCAGCTGTCAACATGGCCTCCCCAGGCAGCCTTTGAAACAGTTCAAACACACTTTTCCGTGGCACACTTGCCCTCTTGTGTCTCCAACKGGGCTGTAGGGAGAGGCTGCCCCTCTGCTCTGTCCATCCCTCTTGTTCCAATATCTCTCCCTAGTGCCCTGTTGTGCAGGGTATCAGGCCCTTTTATGGATGAGACCCCATTCTGACAAGAAGCTCGATAGAGAAGTGTCTACAGCCTTCTGTAGCAGGACGTAGGCATGAAGTTAGTCTCTTACCCACTCCTTTGTTTCCTTCTTGGCATCTAGTCAAACTCTACRCTCAAGGCAGGCATCAAAGAAATATTTACTGGTTGTTTGCCCCTTAAGTTCTTGGTTCTGCYAACTCAATCTCAAAGTGGTTTCCTGGAACCACAGGTGTGGAGGGAAGCTCCTCCTTCCCACCCACTGGTTCCCACTAGGGTCGGATAAACAGGTTGTCATTATCAGTTTGGAGCTAGRAGCCCAGGATTTCAGTTCCTGTCTTATTACTTCAAGCTGACTGACTTTCCACAGGTTAATGAASTTTGGGTCTCTAGCTTTCCTTTGTGGAACAAAGGGATTTATATGAAAGAATCTTGGTTGTTAATACAGCATTWAAAAAGTCTCTTTTAGGAGCATATTTATGTATAATTTGTGTATGATTCCTACCCTGTGTCTACACTGTTTTATCCTCTGTGAGATCTTATACTTTTAAGGATGTGGATGTGACAAAATCTCTTCTCTCTGTCTCTGTCTCTGTCTATCTCTTTGTCCCTTGCCTCTCTATCTTGGCTACCAGACTATTTTGCTCTTTTCTTCATAAAATATAGTTGGTTGAGTGGTCAGGGATTAGCTCCAAACAGCCTGTGTCAGATCCCAGCACCACATGACCTGGGGTTACTTGATTACTAAGTCTCTTTGAATCTCAGTTTTCTCCCTGGTGAAATGAATTAGTAATAGTATTGACCTGAAAACATTGTAGGTATTAAGTAAAATAATACAGAAAATATTTGGCACAATGTCATGTAATGCACTCTTGGCAAATGTTAGACATAAAGTTTTTCACTTATTTGAGAATACCATATTYCCTCCTGTCTCAGGGACTTTCACTTGTTCCTTTCTGCATCTGAATGTAARTTTTACCTCCTCTTTCTCATGTTAATTCCTGCTCATCCTTGACATTTCAGTTCAATGATCATTTCTGAGGACAAACTTAAATGACATATCAAACTGGGTTAGGAACAACTATTCTATGTTCCCATAGTTTCCTTTATTTCTCCTCCATACAAGTACAATGAAAACAACTAATGATGTAATTACACATTTGACCTGTTTTCCGAATTGCAGTGTAAGATTGAGGATTTCCATTTCCAACCTTTAGAGAACCAGTGTTATTGGATGTGCTGTTACACTACAAGCAACTATGTAACCAGATAAACTATATGAAGCAAATATTTTAAAACACAGGACAATAAGCAGTATAGAACTAGGATGTTTGGGAGAAAAGATGCAAGCAGTGACCTTAAGAATGCCCCCTACCTSTGCCTGGGGCATGTTCCTTCCATAATTAAGAGGGATGAAGTCCAAGCTAAACCCATGCTCCCTGAGCTGCAGTGGCAAAGTGGCATTCCAGACTACTGGCATTTCTAGGGCAGCCAAAATTGGAGAAGTAATAATGTCTGTGCATGGTAGGGAGCAAGGACCCATATGAGGAATAAATGTGAGCTATTGATAAAAGGCTGAAATATGCAGGATTAGGGGAAAACCCCATAATACTTATCAAGCAAAGCTTCTGCATGGCTGAGAATCTAATGGAGATAACAGAAATTCTGTGGTGCTGGGCAGGATCGGAGATCTAGACCAGGCAGAAAGAAAAATAAAGAAAAAGGTAAAAGAAAAGAAAAAAAAAACTTCATTCTGCATTACTGGCATTCACATGTGAGCTCAGAAAGATTATTTTCAGAATCAGGACAGTTTCTTGGAGTAAGTGCCACACCAACCAAAATTGACCTTCCCAACCCAAAGACACAACCAAAGCTAGAAAGACTGAAGAGAAGCACTGAACTAYGGAATGTCTTCTAGAACAACATTCAGCAATTTTATATAATATAATATGACCTAAACTCCCTCCATTGTATCATGCTAATGTCTTCGGTGGTATCAAAAATTGTCCAACATGTAAGGGACCCAAAAAATGTGACCCATAATTGAGACTTGAAAGCAGCCAATAGAAACAATCCTAAGAATGAGGCAGATGTGGRAAGTAGTAGGGAATGACTTTCAAGAAAAAGATGGCCATAGTAGGTAATGGTAGAAAGTTTTAGAAAAAAGAATTAAAACAACAAAAAGGAACCAAATGGTGATTCTAAAAATAAAATAAAGAAAAAATCTATAAAATTGACTTAACAGCTGATTGAGGACTACTGAGCCTAAATAGAGATCAGCAGAAATAAACCATTCAATCTAAATAGAGAGAAGAAGACKTTAAGAATTAAAAGAGTCTTAGTGATCCACATAACAGGTAAAGAAGCCCAGTACAAGTATAAGTGGAGATAGGAGATGAGAGAAAATGTTGAAGAAATAGTGTTTAAAAATAYTAATGTAGAGATCCAATGAACTTCTAGACCTCAAGCAAGACAGATATAAGAAGCATTCACRGCTATGTCACAGTCAKYGCAGAAACTGAAACTGAGAAAAGTATTTTAAAAAATAGGAGGAAAGTACACAAACTGATCTGGTACATGAGGATGGTTTCTCATCAGAATCAAGAGAGACCAGAAACAGTGTAATAGCACACAATGTTCTCAGAGGCACACTATCAACCCAAAATTCTATACTCAATAACAAAAGTATTTGTAGAATGAATATGAAATAAATATATGTTCAGATGATACACTAAAGCTGTGACTATTTATAGCTAAGAGACTTACACTAGAAGAAACACCAAAGGAATTTCCTCAGGCTAAAGGAAAATTATAGGGAAATTTGAATCTACAGTTAGAAATAAAGAACACTGGAAATTGAAAATATGTGAATAAATATGAAATGTTATTTTGTTTTCTTATTTTACTCAAAACTAAAACAAATATATTGTGGAATTTATTGCTTTTACAGATGCAAAATTTATAATAATAACAGCACAAAGGTCTGTAGAAGAATGGATTTTTTTACTGGCATATGGTTTTTACATTTTATAAAGTGGCACAGTGTCAATTCTAAGTAGCCTATAAAAAGTGAAGGAGACATCTTGCACTTTCTAGATGCTAGACCACCAACTAAAGACAATGCAAGGGGCT